GTCACCAAATCTCCTGATTTAGTTTCTTTTTAGTTCACATTTAACTTCAATCAAATGTGATCTAATTGATTTGATCGAATTCTAACTCTTTTAAACTTTGAAGTTAATGGAATTTTCAACCTCATTTATGAATTATGATGCTGGTTAGGTCCACAAAGCCACAGAAGTTACAATCTGATAGTGACCGATTGGAAGACGATGAGTACCACATCACACCGAGATTTTGTACTTATCTGAGCGTAATCGAAACTTCACTATCCATTTTACTTCCATGTATTTATTGTATAAACGTTAAGTACTAAAACCATAGCTATCATAAAATGAAAAGTCGTGTGAAATTATATGTTAGCCTTTTATGTACGTATTTATTAAACAATCTGAATAGTAGCTAAGTTCTTACGTGTCTTCTGTTGTCAACTTAAGCTGTCTTTTTCGTGGTTAATTCCTTTGAGAGAATCTTGAAGCACTAAACAAGAAGAGTCAACATAGTGAATGTTATCCATTATAAAGAGAACCAAGCTTCCTTCTCCACAACACACATTACACATCAACAATCCTCTCTCTCTCTCTCACACACTCACGCTATCTCTCAATCATCAATACAAAAATTTATGGAGCAGAGCAAGAGTGATATAGAGCTTCAAGGGTCATATGATGATCATCAAAAATGGGTTCTTGATTCTTCTCTCGATAGTAAAGGAGAGATTCCTGTTAGGGCTAGAACCGGAGCTTGGAGAGCTGCACTCTTCATCATTGGTATGTATATAAACTCTGTACAGGGACTATTGGTGTTAAATCTTGACGTTATAATCTTATGGTTTTATATACATGCAGCAATCGAGTTCAGTGAGAGGCTAAGTTACTTTGGGATCTCTACGAGCTTAGTGGTCTACTTAACGACCATTCTTCACCAAGATCTTAAGATGGCTATAAGAAATGCAAACTACTGGTCTGGTGTCACTACTTTAATGCCTCTTCTTGGAGGCTTCGTCGCCGATGCTTATCTCGGACGTTATACCACTGTTCTACTTGCAACCATCATCTACCTTATGGTAATAACTTGATGAACTTGAAAGTTTGAACTTGAAAGTTCGAAAAAAAAGTTTGATGTTCAATATTTAATACAAACCGTTTATTTATTTATTTGTTTTTGAAAAAAAAAGCCTTATTTATATACATTTTGTTAATATGTTTTGGTGTGGACCTTTTTAATAGCACATCTTGCATATATTATACTCTATAACCGATTAAATAATACTTCAAAATGTGTGTATATTCGATATTTTATATCAAAACTGTTTGTTAGCATGTGCTACTGATGCATTCAAACAAAACGCCGGTTTAAAAATATTTGGGACCCTTATTTTAAGAAAATCTTGTAAGGCATATTATATCTGACAATATTTACTTTTTCACCAAGTTTTAAGTATATTTGAAACGATCACGTTTTAAATAATACTTTGTTTATATTTTTTGATTTGAGACCAGTCAAAGCTTGGTGGTTTGTTTTGTTTCTCTTTTTTTTTTTTCTGTTGACCCAATTTTTTTTGAATGTACAGGGTTTGATTCTGTTAACATTGTCTTGGTTTATACCGGGATTGAAACCTTGTCATGAAGAAGGGTGTGTTGAGCCACGTAAAGCCCACGAAATAGCCTTCTTCATTGCAATCTACTTAATCTCCATAGGCACTGGAGGTCATAAGCCAGCCCTTGAGAGCTTTGGAGCTGACCAATTCGAAGATGGCCATCCTGAAGAACGTAAGATGAAAATGTCTTACTTTAACTGGTGGAGTGCTGGTCTATGCGCTGGTGTTTTAACCGCGGTGACTATAGTAGTTTATATAGAAGACCATATTGGTTGGGGTGTGGCTGGTATCATACTCACCGTAGTCATGGCTACATCTCTTTTGGTCTTCCTTATTGGTAAACCGTTCTATCGTTATCGTGCACCTTCGGGTAGCCCGTTGACACCGATGGTGCAAGTCTTTGTTGCTGCCATTGCCAAGAGACATCTTCCTCGTCCTAATGATTCTTCTGTTCTTCATGAGTTGTCTAGAGAAGAGTATACTAAAGGACGGCTTCTTTCCCGCACAGAAAAGCTTAAGTAAGTTTACAAGTTACAATTACATATGTTCAATTCTGGTTTAGGTTCGATTTTGGTTATTGAATAGCAATACATAAGTAAACAGAAGTAAAATTGAATATAATCTACGGATTTGTTGCATATTCTATTTGAATTCAGTTTTTCCAAATACACAAATCTAGTTTTTTATTTAAAAGATTTTGATTTTGTTTTGTTTTGAATGTACTCTGAAGCGGTTTAGAAAAGGACATGAATTCAATTTTTTTCCAAATACACAAATCTTGTTTTTATTTAAAAGGTTTTGGATTTTTTTGTTTTGTTTTGAATGTACTCTGAAACGGTTTAGAAAAGGACAAACGGTGCAACTATCCTTAAGTCCAACCTAATCTCCCCATATAATAAAAATTAAGAACCGTGATATATATATAAGCTATTTTAACTATTTAAAAGTCTGATTTAAAAATGCCCAAGAATCATTCAAATGTAAATGATTTTGTTTTCATCACAAAATTTACAAAAAGTATTACATAGAAAGCTATATATTTTTAAAAATTATATAGTTTAGAGGCACAATTTGTTTTTTTGCAGGCATGGATTTAGTTTTGCCTTTAACTTTTAAGCTTACTAGGACTGGCTTTTGTTTTGATTTTTAGTTGTTTATCAGAATTAAACACTTAATTTCCATCTATAACATGTTTCTTTTGCATCCATACATAAAACTAATTTCTATATAATTTGCAGATTCTTAGACAAGGCAGCCATTATCGAAAATCGAGGAAGTGAGAATGCTATGGCCGAGAAGGAGAGTCCATGGAAACTAGCAACGGTAACAAAAGTAGAAGAACTGAAGCTACTCATCAACATGGTTCCAATATGGTTCTTTACATTAGCCTTTGGCATATGCGCCACTCAGAGCACAACATTCTTCATCAAACAAGCCATTATCATGGACCGACACATCGGTCACAGCTTCATAGTTCCTCCATCATCCATGTTCGCCCTCGTAGCTATCTCCATGATCATCTCCGTGACAGCCTACGAGAAAATCCTCGTGCCTCTTTCTAGACACATCACTGGAAAAGAAAGAGGTATCAGCATTCTACAACGAATAGGAACCGGTATGGTTTTCTCCTTACTAGCCATGATCATTGCTGCTTTAGTCGAGAGAAAAAGATTGGATTATACTAAGCAACATCACGTGCCCATGAATGCTATATGGTTAGCTCCTCAGTTCATAGTTATAGGCGTAGCGGACGCTTTTACCCTCGTGGGTCTACAAGAATATTTCTACGACCAAGTCCCTGATTCAATGAGAAGTTTAGGCATAGGGCTTTACCTTAGTGTGGTTGGTGCGGCTAGCTTTGTGAACAATCTTTTGATGACGGTTACTGATAGTTTAGCTGAGGAAATCTCTGGGAAGAGTTTGTTTGGGAAAGATCTTAATAGCAGCCGCTTGGACCGTTTTTACTGGACGCTAGCCGCTTTGACCGCTGCAAATATATGCTTCTTTGTATATGTAGCAAGAAGGTATACTTACAAGAGTGTGCAATCAAGTGTGGCTGTTGCTGACGGTGGTGATGATGTTGAGACAGCCTCGGCGGCTGATACGTCAAAGTATACGTAACATCGTTATAGGGTTGGTCATACGATCACCAGTTTGTGTTCTTTTCGTTGTACTTTTGTTAAGTGTTTTCGTACTCTTATTTATGTAGTGCTGGTTTATGTGGATATGTAATAATAAACTAAAGTTATTTGTAGAAATGTGGACATATAAACCAAACCAAACCAAACCAAACCAAATATTAATCCCAAAACCTTTAAATGATGTTATCGTTGTAAACTAATGGTATCGACTTTTTTTTGTTTAAACTAGTATTCTTTTTGGGTCATATGTTGTTCTATTGTTAAGATATTTAAAGAGTAGAGAAGAACATCGCTAAAAGCACAGTTCAAAAAAAGAAAAGAAACATCGCTAAAAGGCATATAATGGAACAGAACAACGTCAAATAGGTAAAGACACCTGAGTCAACATCCATATAACGGAGATAAACTCAAAACCCCCCTCCTGGAGAGACTTATGAACACTACCATACCACCAAAAAAAACTGATGAACAAATCCAAAAGAAACTAGAATCCGCAAACCATATACCAACCATTGAAGAAACGCTTACAAAATCTTCAAAAAACAACTCCAAAACCGTCAAACCAAACACCATATCCACCGTAACAGGTGATCCGAAAATTGTCTGATAATTTTAAATTTGGATCAATAAGATAACCAATCCACTTTGTAATACAATTCAAATTGTATTTGTTTAGAGGCCGATCAGTTTAGCTTACATAGACTAACTTTTATAACTTAATAGTCGATAAATTAATAATTTCTATAAATTAATAATTTTTTTCATTCCCATTTTGAGTCGGTTCGAAATTTGACACAAAACGATAAAATAATAAAATAATCATTTTAAAAAAATTCTATGTAAATATATGGTCGCATTAAAATTATATGAAATATATATATATATATATATATATATATATATATATTCTATACACTAAATAATATAATAAAATTAATATAAATGTCAAATTTTAAAAAATAATAGTTAGTATCTATAGAATATAATATAATATTTTTCTTATCTCAGAAGAAATATATCTCAAAATAAAAAATTTAAACAAGAAATTTTTTATTAGTTAATATTTTTATAAATTAATAAAATTTTAAATTCTAACATTATTAATTTATAGAAATTCTACAGTATATAAAAAAAACCTAAAATTATACAAATAAAGCCCAGTGGGATTGTTGAGAAAAAAGTTATGTAGCCCAATTGTAAACTAATGTACCAAGAATTATCCGGTATAGTTTGTGACAGCCGGTTTCTTTATGCCATCGCTCTATCGTCTCTCCAAAATTTCTCGTTAGACCAGAGATTCAAAACATCGTCGAGAAATGGCGTGCTCAATTAGTAGTAACCCTCTCCAGTGTTACTCTGAAACGCTGCGTTTTTCTCCCCGACAACGACAATGCTGCCGCGTAAAGCCTAATCTTTCCTCTCTTTTCTCCTTTAGTTCCTCCCCAAACCTTCTCTCTCAGGTAAATATCTAATAGAAACCTCACTTCTCGAGTGAACCATTTTGGATAATCACTTTAATTTTGAAATCTATAGACACTGGGTGCTTCTCCTTCGTCTCTTCCCCGGCGGAATATTGCAAAAATGGCGGCGTCGGAAGGGTCGATCATCGGAAGCAATAGGATGCTGGTGATTTGATTGTATTTTTTTTTTGGAGTTTAATTCGAAATTGAGAAAAAATGAAATGATTCTGTTTATATTTTGCAGGTGTTCGTGCCACCACATCCTTTGATCAAACACTGGATCTCTGTCTTGAGAAACGACCAAACTCCTTGTCCTATTTTCAGTGAGTAGATAAGATTAGTGTTTGAGTGCTCTGTGCAGATTCTACCACTGTTATGTTATATGCGTTTGAAAATTCGTTTTTATAGACATTGCCATGTTCGTTTCAGTGTCGAAGGTGGCAAGTTATTGTTTGGTTTACACTTTATACTGTCGTACAACTGATCACACTATTACTCGCAAGTCATAACAAAACGAATAAAATATAAAATTTTTGCTACCTGTTATTGGTTACACGACTAGGGACATCCTAATGAAACATTATTATTTGGTCTTCAAAATTTTTGAAAGTCTTTTACAGTCATTAACCCCTAAATTATGAAAAAAAAGATTTTTTACAAAATTCTTAAGAAATGTTTTTAAGTCCCAAGAATCTTAGATTCAGCTCAGACGACATGAAATGGACAAAATCAAAAACAGAGTTATGTTTTCTTGTTTGCTACACTAAGGTCTGTGTTTTGAGCATTTTTACACTATTTTAGGGAATGCAATAGCTGAACTAGGGAGACTGTTGATGTATGAAGCATCTCGAGAGTGGCTGGTGCGTAATGTTTCAGACACCTCTCTTTTTGTCATGTTTGCTTTATTATTGTTTCTTGATTATTTTTTCCACTATGTGATGGATGTATAAAGCCAACTGTTGTTGGAGAAATAATGTCTCCAATGGGTGCTGCTTCTGTTGAATTCATTGATCCTAGAGAACCTATAGCGGTTTGTCTCTTCCCTAAGACTCTTGTTTCCCATATTTTTTCTTGACTCAATCCAAAAAGTTTAGACATTTGTTATATGTAGGTTGTTCCGATATTAAGAGCTGGTCTTGCACTTGCGGAACACGCATCAACAGTTCTGCCTGCAAATAAAATATATCATTTAGGTAGATATTAACATGTTTAAAGAACTAATCTATAGCTTATGATGCCCATGTGCTTAATCCTTTTCTTTACCAGGAATAAGTCGGGACGAGGAAACCCTTTTGCCTTCGGTGTATCTTAACAAGTAAGAACTTCTCCACATCATCATGTAATTAGCACTGAAGCGTTTATGGTGACATGTAGCTTTGATACATGTTCCTCAGGCTGCCTGATGAATTTCCCGAAAATTCGAGAGTGTTTTTGGTGGACCCAATGCTTGCTACAGGTTAGGAAGTTATGTCAAAAAAATTGGCAATGTAGCGACCACCATAGTAGAACAAGTGTAGTTAGTGTTTTGATGCGCCTTAGATGTAATACTTAATGTTTCTCTATGCGTTACAACATGGGTTTGTTTGTATTTCAGGTGGTACCATAATTGCAGCGATGGATCTGTTGAAGGAACGTGGTTTGTCTGTTCAGCAAATCAAAGTGGTAAGCATATATATAAACATGAAGCAGCTTTTTTCTCTGAAACTTTGGCTATAGAAGAACCTCCTTCATTGATAAATATATTTCTGCTTTATCTGGTATCTCCTTAACTACAGATTTGTGCGGTGGCTGCACCTCCTGCACTATCTAAGCTTAATGAGAAATATCCCGGGTATTAATGCTGAAAGATTTGACTCTTTAACTTGTTTGAAATTTGGCAAGATTCATACTAATCTGTTTTGTTTATTGTTTGAAACATTCAGGCTTCATGTGTATACTGGAATCATCGATCCTGAAGTCAATGAAAAGGGGTAGGTCAGGCTGGCGTTTTGAAAGTTTCTTGATTCTTGATTTATGTATGAAAACTAGTATATGATATGGAGTTGTAATGTCCTTCATACGTTTATTATGGGATTAGGTTCATTATCCCTGGGCTTGGAGACGCTGGAGACCGCAGTTTTGGGACATGAAAACAAATTTGAGGTTTTGGTTAAGCTTTTGATAAAGTGATTCTTGTGTGAGTTCTCTGAATTTTACAGTCAGAAAAATCATTTTGATTGATGTTTTTTGGTTTTTACCACTGTTTACTAATTGCTTCTCAGTCTCAGGTTTGGAGGTTTATGATGTAAGAAATCACATTGGAGGATATGAGTTCCTGATTATTACGAAACAAAGAAGAAACTTGTAAACACTAGTTTTGCTTCGTCAATGATTTGTAGGTCGTTTGCTAGTGAAACAACGTTATCAACAAAACTTTTTTTTTTGTGAAAAATATTTGTACGAGAAAATCAAGGGAGAATTTCAATTTTACCACAAGTGTGCTACCATTATTCAACTTTACCTTAGTTATATCAACATTTTCATAAATACCTAGAGAGACTGAATGAGAATGACGTAAATAACCTTCATGGTCAATTGAATAAACATTTTTTTTCTCTCTCGATCCCTTTCCAGAGCCGGAGGCTTCTCCACCCTCCATCTCTTGTTTTCTGTTTTGTTCTCTCGGTGGTTTCACCCTTCCTGGTGATATACTTCGACGGATCTGGAGGATCCGGAGTTCGATGGAGACCATGTCTTAGATCTGACCACGCGGAGATGATGTAGAAAGAGGAAGACGGATCTCTGGAACGGCGGTGAGTAGGGTGAAGAGAAACCTTCAGTATGTGATCGGCTTTTAGGGTTTGTGGTGGTCGCCGACAAGACAATGGTTTTCAGCCTTGATTTGTCGGTCTCCAACAAAGAAACGGAGACGTGTGGCTGTGTCTGTGTTCCTCTTTCTCGTAGATCTGAAGATTGGGCTTGGATTGCTTGGATTCAAAAGGAGAGGGTCGTGTGGGTGGACGTGTGGAGCATACTCAGCGCGTGGAGAGCTCGAAGTCTCATTCCCTTAAGGGTCTGTACCTTCACAGCGTGACTGGAGATTCATGCTTAGTTCGTGGTATACATCTAACTCAGCTTTTTTTCTGATTTGTTCCTTTGGCTGCTTTGATATTTATAACATGCTTAGTTTGTTGTATACATTCTACTCTGACGATATCTGTCTTTGTATTTCAATTGTTAACATCCCTTCAGCACATAGCTGTCTTTGGATTTCAGTTGTTTTATCTGTCTTCAGGTATATGAGTACCCTTGGAAACAAGAAAATTGAACTTTTTGATATGGGAGCTGGACCCAGCGCTGAACCTACAGCTGACGAAAATGTTCAAGTGGCTTCAGGTGAGTCCTCTATGCATGCTTTTCTGTGCAACCAAGTAATGATTTGTCCCAATACATCACGAAGTTAGCATGTCTGAAGCTTAAACTCCTTCATGCTATATATAATTGAATATGGTGAACTATTTGTGGATCCACTATTTGTTTATGCTCTTAGTGTAATGGTGTGTGTGTAAATGTATGGTGAATGGTTAAAGTATACTAGAAATGTTACCGGTTGGCCTGATATACTAAGTGTTTCTCAAGTGTCTAGACAAAGATTTCGCTTAAAGAAGTATTCTTTTTGAGTTTGACATGAAGTTGAATATTTTAGAATGGTGAAGTTTATGTGATTTTATGTATAGCTATGTCAAACCAGGAGCTTGTTGATGCTGGAATGAAAAGAATGGATGAAACTGATTAGGCCATTGAACGCTCAAAACAGGTAAATTACAAAATTACAAAATGTGTTCTACGTACTGTCATTACTATTTCTATGGTAAAATCCTTGTTCTAATTAGTTTGTAGAACAAACAATGGAAGTTGGAACTCAAACTGCAGCTAATTTAAAAGGACAGGTAAAAGCAAAGCATCTTCCATCGCTTCCCTATTGTGAGTTGAGTCTTAAGTAATCCGAAAACAATGCAGACGGAACAAATGGGACGCGTTGTTAACCACTTAGACACGATTCAGTTCTCTATCAAGAAAGCATCCCAGCTTGTTAAAGAGATAGGGAGACAGGTCTGTAACCTCATACGGACACAAAATTTCTCCTTTTGCTTGACCAAAAAATGTGAATCTCGGTGTCTTCTTATTTCAGGTGTCTACGGATAAATGCATAATGATGTTTCTGTTTCTCATTGTATGCGGTGTGATAGCCATAATCCTTATAAATAGATTTATAAACCTTGTAAATAGATGTATAAACTCTTATAAATGAGTGATAAGTTCTTGTACATAGTTTTATAAACATTGATAAGAGAATTATGAATACTTATAAATAGATTTATAAGGATCCACTAATGAATTTTTGTAAGAATTTATATATATTTATAAATGATTTATAAACTCTTCTAAATGAAAACTCTTATAAATTGTTTTATGAAGATTATTAAACTCTTTTAATATTTTGTATAAATTCTTATAAATAGATTTATAAACCTTGTAAATAGATTTATAAACCTTGTAAATAGATTTATAAACTCTTATAAATGGGTGATAAGTTCTTGTACATGGTTTTATAAACCCTTCTAAATAGTTTTATAAACCCTTATAAATTGTTTTCAAAACTTTATAAAATGATTTTAAACTTTCATATTTGATTGATCAACTCTTATAACACATGCAAAAGCTCTTATTTGGTATTGACATAGTGAACATAACAAGAAGAAAAGTAGGACAATCTAAACAATATGAGAGATCTTTGTACAATCTAAAACCTCAGACTTTGTTGTTGCTGATACTCAAGAAACTCTTATAACTGAGACTTTATTGTTGCTGATACTCAAGAAACTCTTATAACTGAGACTTTATTGTTGCTGATACTCAAGAAACTCTTACAAATCAGTTTATGAACTCTTATAAATCAGTTTATACATTTAACGTAGAAACCTTCATGAATTAGTTTATAAACCTCTATCGATCAGTTTACAAAATTTATAAATCATTTTATAAACCCATATAAATAAGTTATAAGTCTTTATAAAATAGTTTTTAAGCCTTACCAAATTGGTTTATAATCATTGTTTAAGTCATTTATAAACCTTTATAAATTCATATAAATGGAAAGTCAATTTATTAAAATTAATATATAACCTTACAAACCCTATAATTAGTTTATAAACCCTTTAAAATCAGTTTATAACCAGTTATAAATCAAATTTATAGACCATTATAAATACAATATGTGGTTAACCAGAATGTTCTCTAAATTAGTTTAATAAATAATTCATAAATTAACAAATAAACCTTAATAAATTAGTTTATAAACCTTTATAAATCTGTTTAAAACTCTTATAATCAAATTATAACCTTCATAAATCATTTTATGTCTTTATAAACTAATAAGTCATCAATAAACTCATATAGTTCAAATTAATTTTATAAACATTATTAAATAAACTTATAAATTTTTATAAATAAATTTATAAGTTCTTATAAATAAGTTTATACTTCTTATGTATAATCCTATAAACATTTATAAATCAGTCATTACAATATATGAGCTAAGATCTGAACCACCAATAGCAAGATACCATGCTCGAGTATGTATGTTTATAAAGGTTTGTTAAACCAATCATATTGATATATAAAATAGTTTTGTATATATATATATATCATTATAATAGTTTGTAAAACCTGTTATGAACCATTTTTAAGTTTTATAAGAGTTTATAAAGCTTTGTATGAACCATTTATGAAGTTTATAAAACACTTATAACCATTTATGAAGTTTATACTTGAGTGACTCCGGTTTTGTCTTTTGTCTTGCAACTAGTGTGTTCTCGAACATTTTTAGCTACTTATATGGGTTTATAAATTATTTATAAGCCTTTATAAGTCATTTATAAGGTATATGAATCATTTATAAGTGTTTATAATTTATTTATAAAGGGTTTATTAATTATTTATAAAGGGTTTATTAATCAGCTATAATGATTTATAACTCATTTATAAATGGTTATAAATAATTTATAAGAGCATATAAAGGTTTACAATCATTTATAAACATTTAGAAGGGTCTATAAATCATTTTAAAAAATTATTAATAAGTTATAAGGATTAATAACTCATTTATAAATGATTATAAATAATTTTAATGAGCTTATAAAGAGTCTTTGTCAAAGACTAAGATTACAAAACAAAGAGACTACTGCTATTGTTAGTTGCAGTCTTGCAGAGACTCTTAAGTCAACTTTTGTCATATTGTTCATTTACATATTCGATATAGACTGTTTATAAAAGATTAGAAACTGTTTATAAAGATTTATAAGAGCTTATAAACCTTTTATAAGGGATTATAATCTGTTTATAAATAGTTATATATTAATTATAAATATTTCTAAAAGCTTATAAATCATTTATAAGAGATAATTAACAAGTTGTAAGAGTTTATAATGGCTTATAAAAGTTTCTAAATAATTTATAAGAGTTTATAACACTTATAAAGGGTTTGTAAATGTTTATAAAATGTTTATAAATCATAATAAAATTAACGGTGCTCTTAGATCTCTTTGAAGATTATAGGAATGGTTTACATAGGTGTAGAAACCAATTAGAAAGTCTTTAAATCATTTATAAGAGTTTATAAATAGATTTTACAAATCGGTTTATAAATTTTGTTTATAAAAGTTCATAATTGGTATAACAAATATATCATTTAAAATAGTTTATAAGTAATTATTTATCATTATAAGAGATTTATATATCATTTATAAGAGTCTATATATCATTTATAAAGGCTTATAAATCATCTATAAAGTTTTATAAATCAGTTACAAGGGTTTATAAATCAGTTACAAGGGTTTATAATCATAATAGAATTAATGGTGCTCTTAGATATCTTTGAAGATTATAGGAATGGTTTACATAGGTGTAGAAACCAATTAGAAAGTCTTTAAATCATTTATAAGAGTTTATAAATAGATTTTACAAATCGGTTTATAAATTTTGTTTATAAAAGTTCATAATTGGTATAACAAATATATCATTTAAAAGAGTTTATAAGTAATTATTTATCATTATAAGAGATTTATATATCATTTATAAAGGCTTATAAATCATCTATAAAGTTTTATAAATCAGTTACAAGGGTTTATAAATTATTCATTAGAGTTAATAAAACATGTATAAGAGTTAATAAATCAGAGGAGTTTGCTAATTCATCGTCAATGATCAAAGTTCAAAGCTGTTCTAAGCTTAGGAGCTCCCAGAAAAGGAAAAAAAATCATTATTTAGACCATGCATCTTATTTCTTTGCTTTTTTTCCTGCTGATGCTACCTTAGTTAGCCTGGATCCAAATTCTCTCCACTTATTCTTCTTACTCTCCTCTAGACTGTCACCAAATGTGAACCCGTGAACTCTCACTAGGGCTGTGAGAACATATGCAACACTTGGATCAGTACCTAAGAGCTATATAAAGAACGAGCAGTACTAGGCCTGATGCTACTAATGGGATGATGTAACCACTCGTCTTCTTCTTCTTTGTTGTTGTTGGTTGACATGAAGAAGAGTGACAAAGGACAAGGTTTCCACCATATCTAAAGATTACAACATAGAAACTTCAGTCAGTAATCTTTTAGCAAGAGACAAGGCCATCCTTAAAATTGAGGTGCTTGCCTTAGCGAAAGAGAACCATCTTTTGATTTCTCCAACAGTTTAGCTCTCCAACAGTTTAGCTGGAATGGAACCAGTTAACTTGTTTCCTTCCAAGTTTCTACATATATATTCACATACAAACCAGCATAAACTCACAATCACAGAACACTACTGCTTTTGTAAGTCACACAACTATAGTTTCGAAGACTCACAGTTCAGTCAAGTTTAATAAACTGGAGAGGAAGTCAGGTACTGTTCCCATTAAGCTATTGTTTGATAAGTCCCTGCAAATGATAGTTCCTTGTGTCACAAGTCTGTATAACATAGAGTTTATCAATGTTAACTTCAAAGAGACAAGAATTAGTTACAATTTTTTTATTGATGTTAGTTTGGAGAAATCTGGATCAATCTCTCCAGTCAATGAACTAGAGGTAAAGTTCCTGTAAAGCACAACATGAAATATAAGAGCAGAGCAAATCACATGACATATAAGAGCAGTAGCAGAGTATATAAGAACAGAGCATTTGTGTTATTTAAAAAATTCATACAGAGAAATGAGTCTTGGAGAAGTATTGTTATCACTGTGGAGACATTCAAGACCTTCCCAAGAATACTCCACTGGAACACATGGATCTCCTTGCCAGTTCTTCTTCTTCACTCCATACTTCAACTTAATCTTCATCATGGCATCAACTAAGACAATAGAAACACAAAAACCAAATATAATTGAGAAGGGAAAATCTTTATGAGTCCAAAAAAAGCCTTACCATCTTGTTGATATGTTGGTAACTGAAGAAACTCATTGATCTGATAAATCTCAATAGCACTGATGATCGGCGGAAGAGTAGACAAATCTGTTTTCCGTATGACAATCTCATTCATTGTTCTCCCAACAGGCTTTGCAGTGGAACGTGTGTCTGTAAACAAGTACAACGGTCTGATATTCTTGTCAAGTACATCATCATTCACGTATATATCGAACTCGCTCGTCTTGTTGCTTTGTAGCTTCTGATACAACCAGGCGGCTTGAATCAATTATCAGTGGGAACTCACATGAGTCGAAACCTTCCCTTCTGAGACATTCCGTCTCTGTTTTGCAATTGATTCAAGCCGCCTGGTTGTATCATTGTCCCATCTGTCGCTCTTCTCAGCAATCACAAAAGAAATCTCCGTCTCTTTTGGCGGATTCTCTAACAAAGACCAGTACGAAGTTTCTCTACAATGACCAAGAAACAAGTAATCAAAAGGAAGGTCATTTTTTTTGTTCATTATTACAAGTAAAATCATTGGTTTGTTTCTTATGATGAGAGAAAGAAACCTATAAGACTTGAACATTTGAATAGCTCCATCCAGGTTAAAGGCCCATGTCTCTGAGTCTCCTGATCTCTTGAGGTTGCTTCCAATCCACTCAGATAACGATCTTGAAAACCCAAGCTCCACCATATGATCCACAAGCCACCTAGAATCACAAAATTAATGTATTTGAGTGATATGACGTTAAATTTATACACACTGCATACAAACCTAATAGACATTCCCACTAATACATATCAAACCTGAAAAAATAATGTCAAGTACACTAATCCTCACCCGAGAGTTCATATCAAAGTAAATATAACATTCATAAGCTAGAAGGGATCATACAAACTTAGTATTCATTCCCATATATCTATAAACATATGTACCCGCCTCGAAAGCTAAACCAGAGAGATGATGAACACCACGTTAGTACACTAATGCTCACCCGAGATTTCATATCAAAAATGCTTATAAAACATTAACCGAAATGGAACTACTAAGCTTAAAATCAAGCACTCAAGAGAAAAGGATGACACTTTACTTGCGTGAAGGAATTGGTGAAGGTAAACTCTGCAACGTCATCAGAACTTTCTCAACTTCACCATCACTTTGTTCTGCACGGACTTCCCCAGGAACAAAGTCTAACACCAAAAGCTGTTCTGCATCAAAGAAACAAACTTTACTATCTTTCATCATCACACCAAAAGAACAAAAGGCAACATCTTTACACCAAAAGTGAAACCTGCTTAGGAGGAGAAGCAGAGAGACCAAAATCACCACGAGCACAACTCTCCATAAACTGCAACGCAACTTTACCTCCTAAAGAATGACCATAGATCGTCTTGTTTGTTTGAACTCATCAGCGTCGTCGGATCTCACCGTAGAACTCGTTTGCGTTGTTAGATCTCGTCGGAAAATTTGTCACGGTCGTCAAATCTCACCGGAAACTCATCATCCTCGCCAGATCTTGCCGGGAACTTGTCAGCATCGCTAAATCTCACCGGTAACTCATCAGCGTTGTCAAATCTTGCCGGAAAACTCATCGCCGTCAAATGTCGTCAGAATTGACCAAAGAGAATTTGATAGATTGTTCAATTTGGGAATCGTGGGAGAACGACAAAAATTTAGGTTTGATTAGCCAAGGGTATTATGGTCTTTTGATTATCAAAATTTTAAGTGTAAAGATGGTTAATGTAAAAGTGAAATAGTGTATCATGAAAGTGTTAGTTTTAGCAATTTCCCGAAAATCAAACATCATAATCTTGTACTTGATTATTTCATTTATATGTTCCATGTTCTGCGACAAATGAACGCAAACATGCGCTAAGCAAAAAAAAATTAGAATGACTCTTATTATATTTTTATAACTAGATATGGACCCGTGCGTTGCACGGGTTTTGATTAATGTTTTATAAGTTTAATAAAAAAAGATAAAAATTAAAAACTTTTTTTTATTGAAATTGAATGTTTTTATATATGTTGTGTCGAATTCATTTTAGGAATCAAAATTCGGTTTTTTACATAAGTTTTGGTTAAACTTTAATTCAATAATCATGGCACATATACGTAGAGCTAGAGAAAATAAGTGAGACCCGAAAGTTCAAATTAAACGCAATCTAAAGAAATGTAAATTAGAGTGAAATACAAAGAATTTGAAAGGTGAATCAAGCCAATCAAGTATATGATAATGGAATATACTTTATTAAACTCTTNCTAAAGAAATGTAAATTAGAGTGAAATACAAAGAATTTGAAAGGTGAATCAAGCCAATCAAGTATATGATAATGGAATATACTTTATTAAACTCTTAGTTTTGTCTTTATTAATTTGCTTTTATTCTTCTTACTCAAACATATTATGAAGTTTCAATTGTAATTTAGTAATGCTTGTGTTGTCATTGTAAGGTCTCGATATTTCTGTGCTTTTATCATTTATATACTTTGGTAATAGAATTTCTCTATTTTAGAACAAAATTTATAGATGAATCTATAAGTGAATTGCAAATAATCTTAGTTGTATAGGTAATAGAAAACATTATATATCAGCATTTTATCATCTAATTTAAAGGTAATAAAACTATTAATACCTTATGAAATTTTACCATGTTTTGATTCTTGTAGCCACAAAAATATGTGTTTTATAAAAATTATGTTTTAAAATCTCGATTGTATGAATAATCTTTTATGAAAATATATTGTATTAGTACATGTTTTAATAGACATGAAAAAGAAACAATCATTAAAAAGAATTTTATTTTAACATGATTGTCACATGTGGCAATTACATATCTAAGATTATGACATATGTTAAATCAGAATTTTCCTTTTTTTTTACTTAAATACTTAATCTAAACGAATTTATTTTTTTCTTACAATTTTCCTTCTTAAAAATTCACTTAAACTAAAAAAATTTAAATCATAATAATTTCCATCATCGACTATTACTTCAATTTTGTAACTGAAGAAAATTGATTAGTTTTAAACTTTAATAATAGATCAGTATATATGGATATATTTATTTATTTGTAACTATATATTAGTTTTAAACCTTATAGATAAATATCAATGTGTATCGATGATATAAAACAATTATAGTTTTGTAAACGGTGGTTAATTATATTAATACAAATTGTGAAAGAAATTGAGAATTCGGCCAAAAAAAACACGAACTTTGCACGAATTGCCAAAAGAAACCTAAACTTTTGGCATGACCAAAAAAAAACATAAACTTTTCATTGACTTTATAATTAATTGACAATGTTTTCGTTGACTTGTCAATTTGGCACGCCGTCAGCAAATTTAACAGAAAAATTAACGTTGTTAATTGTTTCCGTTAAGATGAAACGAATTGAGATGAAACGACGTCGTTTTAAGCGATTTGAAAATAAAAAGCCGTAGACCACAGGACTCGAACCCGGGTTGATTGATCAAATTGCAAGTTAGTTTACCACTGGGCTAGTGGCACATTCAATATACATACTAACACATTTACTTATATTTGATACTCATTGAATATAAAAAAATTCTATAAAAACTTTAAAAAATCTTTAAAATTTCAAAAAAATGAAAAATTAAAAGATTTTTTTTTTATAAAATTAAATTTGAAATTAAAATTAAAATATTTTTTTTCTTTAAAAAAATCAGACGGGAACTCTTAAAATTTTTTTTTTCTTTCAATGTATCTACTAACACATTTACTTATATTTGGTACTGATTGAATATAAAAAAAATTCTATAAGAACTTTAAAAAATATTTATAATTTCAAAAAAATGAAAAAATAAAGAGTTTTTTTATAAAATTAACCTTGAAACTAAAATTAAAATAAAATTTTATTTTCTTTAAAAAAATCAAAAATCTTGCAAAATTTTAGTTTAAAGAAAAAATAAATTTTATTATAATTTTAAATTTAATTTTATAAAAAAAATCTTTATTTTTTCATTTTTTGGAAATTTTAAAGATTTTTTAAAGTTTTTATAGAATTTTTTTTTATATTCAATCAGTACCAAATATAAGTAAATGTGTTAATAGATACATTAAAAGAAAAATAAAATTTTATAAGTTCCCGTCTGATTTTTTAAGGAAAAATATAATTTTATTTTAATTTTAATTTCACAATTAATTTTATAAAAAAAAATTCTTTATTTTTCATTTGTTTTGAAATTTTAAAGATTTTTAAAGTTTTTATAGATTTTTTTTAATATTCAATCAATACCAAATATAAGTAAACGTGTTAGTAATTATATTGAATGTGCCATTAGCCTAGTGGTAAACTACCTTGCCACTTGATCCAATAACCCGGGTTCGAACCCAAGTGTCTACATCTTTTTGTTTTCAATTGAGATGAAATGACGTCGTTTTCATCCTAACGGCAATAATTAACGTCCGAGTTAACACCGTTTTAACTGTTCGTTAACGGTGTGTTAAAATAGCGAGTCAATCGTAAGTTTCTTAATAAACTAATAAAGTCAACAAAAGTTCAGGTTTTTTTTGGCCAGACTCGAGTTCAGGTTTCTTTTGGCCATTCGTGCAAAGTTGATGCTTTTTTTGGCCGAATTCTCGAAAGAAATTACATAAGAGTTCTACAGTCAACAATTGTACGCATTTTATAAGAATTCACGTCTACATCCCCATAAGTTTTACATAGGACTCACACCATACATATTTTTTGTACAATGCTAAAATTATCTTATAAACATTGTGTCCAGTAAACTGACAATTTTCCTTCTCACAAACTCAAAACATGGACCTCATAATGTAAAAAAATTAATCTTTAGTCAAACCTAGACCAATGGGCTTCCATAAAAAAATAGTTAATTATATGAAAATAATAAAAATATTTTTACAGTTCTCTTTTTGTTTGGAATTTTAATGAAAATTCTTTATTTTAAACCAATGCCTACTGATTTTGTAATTATCTTAACCCATGTTTTTTGACTTTTCAAATATAATTTTATTTTAAATAAATACTACAACTAAAATAAATTTATAGACTTTTAATTATTTTAAACACATATTATATTTGGTAGTGCAAATAATATTCTACAACTAAAAGGAAATTATAATAAATTTTGGTTTTAGAATTCTCTTTGTAAAATCTAAAATACTATTATATTTATAAGAATTTTTAAGATTTTATTTTGTATATAAAACTTAAAATACTGTTTTTCTTTGTAATTATTTTAAACCCATGCTTAGGAAAATAAATACTAATATTAATATCGTTTTTTTTTGTTTACAATATTTTGTAAAAATTACACTATTAATAACTATTTCTGAGAAAAAAAATTGAATTCCTTTTTTTTAACTTAAAAAGGAAAATTACTATTAAATAATTATTTTTAAGAAAAAAATAAATTGTATTTAATAGTAAAAAGTAAATATTCTTTGTATTTTAATTTTCCTTTTTACAAATCCTAAAAAAATATAATTATGAATTCCTTTTTTTAACTTAAAAAGGAAAAATTACTATTAAATAATTATTTTTAAGAAAAAAATAAATTTGTTTAGTTTGAGTATTTTTTATAAATAAAATTGTAAGAAAAAAGGAAATTCGTTTTTAGTTTGAGTATTTTGAAAAGGAAAGTTATGATTTAAATTTGTTTAGTTTAAGTGTATTTTTAAGAAGGAAAATTGTAAGAAAAAAATTAATCAAATATAATTTTATTTTAAATAAATACTACAACTAAAATAAATTTATAGACTTCTAATTATTTTAAACACATATTATATTTGGTAGTGCAAATAATATTCTACAACTAAAATAAAAGTATAATAAATTTTGGTTTTAGAATTCTCTTTGTAAAATCTAAAATACTATTATATTTATAAGAATTTTTAAGATTTTATTTTGTATATAAAACTTAAAATACTGTTTTTCTTTGTAATTATTTTAAACCCATGCTTAGGAAAATAAATACTAATATTAATATCGTTTTTTTTTGTTTACAATATTTTGTAAAAATTACACTATTAATAACTATTTCTGAGAAAAATTTTGAATTCCTTTTTTCACTTAAAAAGGAAAAATTACTATTAAATAATTATTTTNTGTATATAAAACTTAAAATACTGTTTTTCTTTGTAATTATTTTAAACCCATGCTTAGGAAAATAAATACTAATATTAATATCGTTTTTTTTTGTTTACAATATTTTGTAAAAATTACACTATTAATAACTATTTCTGAGAAAAATTTTGAATTCCTTTTTTCACTTAAAAAGGAAAAATTACTATTAAATAATTATTTTAAGAAAAAAATAAATTTAATTAATAGTAAAAAGTAAATATTCTTTGTATTTTAATTTTCCTTTTTACAAATCCTAAAAAAAATATAATTATGAATTCCTTTTTTAACTTAAAAAGGAAAAATTACTATAAAAATAATTATTTTTAAGAAAAAAATAAATTCGTTTAGTTTGAGTATTTTTTATAAACAAAATTGTAAGAAAAAAGGAAATTCGTTTTTAGTTTGAGTATTTAAAAAGGAAAGTTATGATTTAAATTTGTTTAAGGAAAATTGTAAGAAAAAAATAAATTCGTTTAGATTAAGTATTTAAGTAAAAAAAGGAAAATTATGATTTAACATATGTCATAATCTTAGATATGTAATTGCCACATGTCACAATCATGTTAATTAGTAACTTTGAAAACCAAGCTTTATATAATAAGATACTACAAAATATAGATTTAAAATAAATTTATCAAGTTAACAATATGATAAATAATATATTTTATTTTGAGATTATAGTTAATTTTATATAATCGTTGACTACAAAAAATCCATTAATCTTTATTTTATATTTACATAAATTTTAAAATAATAATTTATTAATATTAAAATAATTATGATGAAGAAAAACAAAAATAAAGATTAGATTAAAATCTTTTTAGTATATTAAAAATAAATTTTATTGAAATTTTCAATTAACACAAATTATAGCCTTTAAAAATAATAATAAATTGATCATATTTTTGGTCAATAAATTTCTTGATAAAACTCATAAAATATTAAAAACTTACGATTATTACTATTAATTTTTAATATAATTATGTTTAATTATAAATGAATATAAATTGAATGTGAAAATTTTAATAAAAATATGCCTCTTTTGTATTAGCTGCCCTAAGTGGTGGCTTAACTAGCTTATGCTCTGCAAATGAAGTTAGTTAGATACTAATTGCTATAAGACTGTTATGCGGTTCAGTTTGTTTTTCTCAGTTCATTTTATAACCGTAATTTTGGTTTACTGATAAACCGAAACTATTTTGCATTCAGTTCGGTTAAACCAGTTTCAACTTTTGGCCTGGTAGTAAAAAAGGACTTTTATAGTTCGGTTCAATTACATATGAAGGGTACAACAGTCTTTAACATTCAGTTCATATAACTAAAAACCCTAACATCTTCTGACTATAAATAACATAAATTGCTTCTCAGTCAATTTTTCCATCGCCGCCGTACTGCTCTCTCTCCGTTCAGATTATTCTTCCTCTCAGGTTATCTTCTTAGCCTCCTTCTCTCAGTGATTTTCACCGTGAAACTATCCGAATCATTGTCATATTCATCTCAGCAGTTGTTCCGTTAGATTTATAGCTGTGCTTGCATTCGTTTTCGTTTAATGTTTATTCTGTTAGGAGCTTAAGGTTACTCTTCATTTCACTGTTCTTCTGTTTCTAGCGAATCTTTCTCTTTTTGAAGACGAAATTCTATTGCTAATAATACTTTTTATTTCTTATGGATCAGATCGATTTTTTTAAGCTACAATCATGCAGAACGAGGAAGGAGTCGTCACAGAGCTTTACATTCCGAGAAAATGGTATATAGTTTGTTTTTTTTTGCTATTCTTTACATAATATGAAAAGATTGTTTTGATTAATCTTTAGCTGATTCTCTTATTTGTAGCTCGGCTACAAACAGATTGATCACATCAAAGGATCACGCATCTGTTCAGCTTAACATTGGTCATCTTGATGCTGATGGTATCTACACTGGTCAGTTCACCACACTTGCCCTCTGCGGTTTTGTTCGTGCTCAGGTTTGTTTATAATATAACTCTTCTTATAATGCTATCGCAATTGTTTTAGTGAAGTTTATGATTATTCTGTTTGTATAATTAACGTTTTGGACTGAAATTGCAGGGAGACGCAGACAGTGGCGTCGACAGGCTTTGGCAGAAGAAGAAGGTGGAAGCTAAACAACAGTGAGATTAGAGATAATCTATAAGCTGCTACCTACCCTCTTTTGTTGTTTTTTTTGGCATGTTTCCTTGAATTTTCTCTAGCTACGAACTAGTATCTTTTGTTTTCTGATCTATGAAAGATATTGGTATTGAATCAGTCCTTGCATTTTAACTACATTCTCTTAATTAAATACAAACGCCAACTCATTCAGCTTCAGGATGCAACATCAACGTACGAACTTGAAATTGAGTTGTTTTATACTCTCTCAGTTTTCCAATTTGTAACGCCAACAAAAAGTAATTCTAAAATGATTCACTTTTTTAAAACAGAGGGAAAATATTACCGCAATTTGTTGAACTGTGTTAAGTATCATTATTGCCATTGATAAATGAGAAAAGTGGTGGAAAAATAGTTCTCTCCATATTCAGAGAAAAATGGTTGAAGCTTTGAAATTCAACAAAAGACATCATATCTCACCATCCCAAAGCTCTTCAAGATTCTTGTAAGGACTCAACGTCTCATGAACGAAGGATGTACCTTGAACTAACCTAACCTGCACAGTTACAAATAAACGCCAACGAAACAATGTTTAGACTCCTCATAGAATCTGCAATTATGCAGAGATGTGGTTGTGGTTTCACTTGCCTGTTCTATCTTTGAGAACTTATCAAACATTTCTTTTGGAATTGACCATCCCAATACATCGAAGTTCTCCTTAATCCTCGCTTCATTTGTGCTTTTGGGAAGCACACTATGACCCATTTGAAGACCCCATCGAAGCGCCGTTTGTGCAGGAGACTTGCCGAGTTCTTTAGCAACGGTTTCCAGAACCGGGCTCTTTAGAACATCTGCTTTCACCCACGTTGTTCCTGGAGAACCCAATGGCGAATATCCCTGCCATAATAAAATGTTAGCTGTATGAAAAATGATGATTTATAATGGTTAGTACCAGTGTTAAGTGGTTGAAACTTACGGACAGGTGAATCCCTTTGGACTTGCAGAACTCATGTAGCTTATTCTGTTGCCATGAAGGGTGACATTCCACTTGGTTTACAGCCGGAGGAACGCGAGCAGCCTCCACAAGATCCGAGAGTTTCTTTGTAGAGAAATTGCTAACGCCAATGGCTCGTGCCTTGCCTGAATCATACAGTGCTTCCATTGCTTTCCATGTGCTAGGAATATCGATAGGCATAATGTTCTCTGGCTTAAACTCAACACTGCCTTTCTTTAACCGAACAGGCCAGTGCATCTTGAAAGAAAGACCAAATGAAATCTCAAATAAAGTATGAGAAAGGCATAATAAAAGTTCCAAAGGAGCAGTTGCTTACGAGATAGAGATCGACATAGTCAAGCTGCAGATCCTGTAGAGTTCTGTTCAATGCCTCAGGAACATCTGGTGGGTCAAGTTCAGTCAACCTGTCACGGTCATAAATCAAAAGCTAAAAGGCTAAGCAGAAGCAAAGGGAAACTGAAAAATGTGTAAGAGATAACAGAAACGTTATGAACAACAAAAATACCAGATCTTTGATGTGATGAACAGTTTCTCACGCTTCACTACACCATCTTCAAATAACTTCTTCAGAACATTCCCAATCTCCAGTTTTGCAAATTACACAAATTCACATTTAACTTGCAAACAGTTCTTAAATTTTAACAAATAACTCCATCAATCTAACACAATTTGCTTCAAATGGCTGATTTTAAAAATTAAGCCTAAATTCATAAAATTCATCCAGATGAGCCATTCGTGATTTAAAGTCTAAACGAACAAAACTATCCTTTCCATCCATATGGCTCATCTGAATGGTGAAACGAGCAGACTCAAATTCAAATTTAATTTGCAAACAGTTCTTAAACTATAACGAATAACTCCATTGATCAATCTAACACAATTCAAACCTAGTTAAGAATACAATGCGTTTCATTATAAGATCACATAAATAATAGCCAATCGTATAAAGATGATCAATCATACCAAACTATACAGTATAGTTCATTAACTCCGTTTTAGAAACCATTAACCTCAAGAAATCTAGAAGATAATGGGAACCTAAAAGACCATCACACACTAACCTTAACATACAAGCAAGGTTTATAAGATAACACAAACTCAGATCCATGAGGCGTATAAATGGATTTACCTCAACTTCATTGCCATATCTTGAAGCACAATCAATATGCTGATACCCAATCTACAACACGAAGAAAGATGATGTTTCAGTTCCTTATACTAATTGAAAACCAATCTCTTATTTCAATCTTACCTTCACAGCGGCTGCGACTGCGTCTCCGACGACGCCAGGAGAAGCCTGCCACGTCCCGAGACCGACGGATGGGATCTTTGCTCCGGTGTTGAGTTCGAAGGATCCGATCTCGTTCGCCATTGTTAGAGACTCGAGAGGTTTAGGGTTGCGATTTATAGATCTCAGTTCTTGTGGGATTTAACCAGATGGACAAAGCGGGAAAATAGTGACATTTGTTTCGTACAGTGGCCAGATTACATACACGTGGATGATTTTTCTAACGGTGCATATTCTAAGGAAGATATTACTGTGATCTCTTACTTGATTAAACTCTAAGGAAGATATTACAGTGATCTCTTACTTAATTAACACTAACTAATTACAACTGTTTAAAATTCAATGCAAAATCTGAAAAATACAAATATTATATATTTTAAAATAATACGCCCGATTAACTCAAAAAAAAAAAAAAATACAGTCTTTGGTTGTCAAAAAAAAACTCAAAAAAATAAGATCACACAATACCCAATCCAAGCCAGAACCAAAATAACTCAAAAAACAAGATCACAAAATACCTAATTCAACCCAAACCCAAATCAAACCTGGATAATTTTTTTTTATAACGTTGATTTATTATAATTTTGCAATTATGAGAAAGTTTACATAAACGATTCCACAACTGACAGTACTACATGTATTAATAAATCTATTTTCTCCAGAACGTAGGCGTAGAAACCTTTAAACCTTAACCACTAGGCTACGGTATTTCCATAACATGGATAAATATTCAAAAATTCAAATAACTAAATAATTAAAAATATTCGATTAAACTAAAAAGAAGATTGAAAATTTAAAAAGAAAATTCAGACTGATACTAATAGAACTCGGACCCTATTCTTAGACTATCATATGAAAACTAGGTATTATGTCTGCACGTGCGGTTTAATAATTTTATTAATATCTATAGATAAATATACAATCAATTTAATTACTATTAACATAAGTTAATATACATACATTTAAATATTTAATAATAAACTAAACGAATTCTTTCTATATATATAGAGTTTTCAACATAATAGAAATAATTTTCAGTACATAAATTAAATTTGAAAACACTCATGTCAGTATTTTTTAAACATGGCAAAAATTTCAATATAATAAAATTATCTTTTATTACGTAAAATTCATTTAAATCACTTTTGTATATATAAAACTAGATGTTTTGCCCGCCATGCGGGCTTAAGCATTTTATAATTATTTGTTAGTAAATATATTAATAATAAAAAATTAGAAGCATAAATTACTATTTGTGTTTTCATTTTGAAATTTTTTATTTATCTTAAAACTTATTCAATATTATCTTTTCACTTATATAAAATTAAGAATTTTAATTAATTAATATGTAATTGTTTGTTTTCTGGTTTTGAATTTTTAAATATTTTATCAAAAGATAGTTTTCGGATAACAATACAATATATATATGAATTATTTTTAAAAATAAAATATATTTTTAGATTTTGGATAAATAAATTTAAATCCGTTTTAAATTTAACTAATTCATATAATTAATTAATTAATATGTAATTATTTGTTTTCTGCTTTTGAATTTTTAAATATTTTATCAAAAGATAGTTTTCGGATAACAATACAATATATATAGGAATTATCTTTTAAAAATAAAATATATTTTTAGATTTTGGATAACTCTTATTGTTATTATTTAAAATAACTATCTAATTAAATAAATTTAAATTCGTTTTTATATTTAATTAATTCATATAATTTATTCATTAAGCGTATAAACGATATTAACCACTCCAACTTTTAACGTGAGAGCTCCGTTGCGAAAAATCACTTATTCATAGCCATATTGCAAATATTTATATTACACTTACTATTAAAATGTGTAAAATTACATTGAAAATAACATTATTAGAATTTACAAAATTTAATTTATGTTTATACATCTTCTTATTTCTTATTTATTTTTATATTTAAAACGTGTTTTCGGATAACAACCACCTACATGTAAGAATTATCTTTTTAAAAAGAATATGTAATTTTGATTTTTTTTATTTATTAATTTGTAGTTATCCAATATAACATATAAAATTAATCTATTAATTGATAATTCGTTTTTAATTTAAATTATTTAATAATATTATATTATATTATATATAAAAGTTCCTTAAGGGTAATATTGATATTAACCACTTCAACTTTTAACGTGGAACCTCCGTTGCGAAAAATCACTTCGCAATGAGTGAGCATAGTCATGTTGCAAATATTTATATTACACTTACTATTAAAATGTGTAAAATTACATTGAAAATAACATTATTAGAATTTACAAAATTTAATTTTTGTTTATACATCTTCTTATTTCTTATTTATTTTTATATTTAAAACGTGTTTTCGGATAACAACCACCTACATGTAAGAATTATCTTTTTAAAAAGAATATGTAATTTTGATATTTTTTATTTATTAATTTGTAGTTATCCAATATAACATATAAAGTTAATATATTAATTGATAATTCGTTTTTAATTTAAATTATTTAATAATATTATATTATATTATATACAAAAGTTCATTAAGGGTAATATTGATATTAACCATTTCAACTTTTAACGTGAAAGCTTCGTTGCGAAAAATCACTTCGCAATGAACGGGCATAGTCATGTTGCAAATATTTATATTACACTTATTATTAAAATGTGTAAAATTACATTGAAAATAACATTATTAGAATTTACAAAATTTAATTTTTGTTTATACATCTTCTTATTTCTTATGTATTTTTATATTTAAAACGTGTTTTTAGATAACAACCACCTACATGTAAGAATTATCTTTATAAAAAGAATATGTAATTTTGATTTTTTTTTTTAATTAATTTGTAGTTATCCAATATAACATATAAAATTAATATATTAATTGATAATTCGTTTTTAATTTAAATTATTTAATAATATTATATTATATATAAAAGTTCATTAAGGGTAATATTGATATTAACCACTCCAACTTTTAACGTGGAAGCTCCGTTGCGAAAAGTCACTTCGCAAATAATAGTATACATATATAGAAAAAAAAAATATAGGGATTTATATTTATAATAGTATAGATATATAAAAAAATATATTATATATATATACTTATTTTTTTCGTTTTTGAATAGTTTTGTAAATTTTATAAATATTTCCTTTTTGTTTTATATTGTTATTTGGAAGATTTAAAAAAAAAAAATATTTAAATATATTTTTAATTCATTAGGGGTATCATAGTAATCAATCAGCGTGAGAGTTAACGTGAGCGCGACACCTCAGAAAGTGACTTCTCAAATAATATTATAGAGATATATAGAAAAAAAATTATATATATATAGGGATTTATATTTTTTATTTTAAAATAAGATGTAAAATAATGTTTTGGATAACACAATATAGATTATTTTTATATATAATTATCACAATATAAAAAACGAAGAAGCTTATAACCAAATCAAGAGCAATTTAGGAAACTCTTATCTTTAGGTATCGATCATTCGTTGCACACACACACACACACAAAAGGTGTCGATCATCTTCTAGCGTTCGTAAAAACTAGGGGTTTCGTTAAAAAAAAGTGTCGAACATCCTCTGCAATTTAGGAAAGAAATTTGAACTCTTTTGGTTTCCAGCTACTTGAGAGCTTCAATGTGTCTTCAAGCACTGTGGAGCTTTTGGCTTGCATGTGCTTATCATTTTGCTTTGAGGTATAAGAAAGATCTCCAAACCCCAATCTTGGTTAGCTTATTCGTCGGTGGCGACACACTCTTACCGTTTCCTTACAAACGTTTTTATTGTTTTGTTGTTGAAACATTTTTTTTATTGCAGGTGACATCAATGTTATCTCTAGCAGCTGCATGTTCATCAGCAGGAGTTGTAGTTTTATACGCTAAAGATGTCAAGCATTTTAAGTATTGTGATATCCATGACCAATTTGCATGTCTTAGGTATGAAGTAGCTGTAGTGCTTTCTTTCGTCACTTGGGTTCAAATAGCAGTTTCTTTTCTTTTCTCATTTTGGATCTATGCCTCTGTTTAATTAGTATCTTCAAGTGTGGTAATATCTTGTAGCTGACTTTGATAACATATAAGATTATATATTTCAAATGAATACCATCAGTGCTTCTTAAGCTTATAAAATATGTCTCTGGCTTTAAACATTGAACACCTTAATTACAATACTTATTAGGGTTTTTAGTAATAAAACCCCTCAACTAAATATGGATCGTAAAAAAAACCCTCAACTAAAGATTTAGTGAAATAAACCCTCAACTTTAGTTCTGTTAATGTTTGTCACCCTCCGTCACGGAATTTTAGATGGAGGGTGATATACGTTAACAAAACTAAAGTTGAGGGTTTATTTCACTAAATCTTTAGTTGAGGGTTTTTCTTACGATCCATCTTTAGTTGAGGGTTTTTATCCCAAATGAGGTTAAATATTTTAAAATCTTTTTTTTTTTTTTTTTTTGGTCAAAAAATATTTTAAAATCTTTATTATCATATATTCATTATTTAAGAATCTTAAAATTCATTTATAAATATTGCAAATAATTTATATTTTTTTTATATATTACTTTATCAATTTTATAACCTATTTATAAAGTTTCTCATTTAATACTTTTTATAAATTATTATTAAAGTTTAATGATGATTTTATAATGTTAAAGCTGTTATTATTCGTCATACTACAAAAACATAAGTAAATAAATAAAACAAGAAAAACTTATTAATTAATATGGTAGAAGTATAACATAGTGGTTCAGAAATTAAAAAGAAGAAAAAGAATCCTACATTATTTCTTCTGAAACAGAAAAAAGTACGAATCAAATTTAAATTATTTAAAGAGGAGAAAAAACCTTTGCCATATTTTAAGTAACAATGTTGAATTTCTAAACTAAATAAATATCCTCAAACTACATACAACTTTATATAACTTAGAAATCTTAATTATTTGATATTTTAGTATTAATATAAGAAAATTGTATGTGTTTCCTCTTTTATAAAGCTTTATCGCTTTACTTCTTAATATCAAGAAAAATCATATATTATTCCATCCTAAGAAATAGCAGAGAAAAACTTATAAAATCATCGTTAAACCTTACTAATAGTTTATAAAAATATTAAAATATTTAGTAAGCTTTATAAATAGGTTACAAATTTGATAAAGTAATATATAAAAAATTATAAATTATTTTCAATGTTTATAAATCAATTCTAAGATTCTCAAATAATAAATAAATGATAACAAAGATTTTAAAATATTTAACCGCATTTAGTAATAAAACCCCTCAACTAAAGATGAATCGTAACAAAAACCCTTAACTAAAGATTTAGTGAAATAAGCCCTCAACTTTAGTTCTGTTAACATATGTAACCCTCCGTCTAAAATTCCGTGACGGAGGGTGACAAACATTAACAAAACTAAAGTTGAGGGTTTATTTCACTAAATCTTTAGTTGGGGTTTTTTTTTACGATCCATCTTTAGTTGAGGGGTTTTATTACTAAAAACCCTACTTATTAACTCGATCTATATACATTGACCACCAGAACACACAAAGTTGGTGTATTCTTATAACATCAGGCGTTTACTAAGAAGAGTAGTCGCAAAATGTGAAACAGCTTTGTCCGAGCCAGTGCAAGACACTCTACTTGCCTCGAGCAGTTCAGTTTCTTTGGAACACACAATCTTTGTCGCTACTAGCTTCTTCTCTGATTTTTTTTTTCCTTTTTAAATTGCACAATGCCATGGCAAAGAAAATTAAATTTCTTCCTCATGTAATGATAAAGAAACTGAATAAGAAAATAAAAAAGTCAGTTACAAGACCGGTACTAAGAACAGAGGAATGAAACATTAGTCCCAACCCTCAAATTTGTAAGTGCTTATTTATTATGGATTATACAACTCTCAAACCATCTAAAAATAGATTTGTATGGTCCATCCGGTCTCTAAGCTGTAATTGCTTCAAACCTCAACCTCATAAATCTTAAGACCGGTTCTAGTCACTTGTAAACTTTGGTATCTAACTTCTCTTTGTCATTTCATACTATATACGAAATTCTTATACCACAACACAAAGAAACTTCGTTTTACATTTTTTTTTTCCAAAATTTCGAATTATAACTCACGGTGCAGAAGCAAGTCCATGTAAAATGCCTTCAATCTCCTTCGCAGCAGCTTTCATCGTCGGCCTACTCTGCCTCGTCTCCTTCACACACCTCTCCGCAAGAACACCCAACTCCTTCATACTCTCCATCTCCACCTCCGTCGCGTCTTTCCATATCACCGGATCAATCATCTCCGCCAACCTCCCTTCCCTCAACGCCTTCCTCAAAAACACCACAAGATTCACATCCTCCTCGTCCCTATTAAAATCAATCGCCTTCTTACACGTCAGCAGCTCGAACAACACCACTCCAAAGCTATACACATCACTCTTATCCGTCAACTGGAAGTTAAGATAATACTCCGGATCCAAATACCCTAACGTCCCTTGCGCACACGTCGTCACGTGGCTCACATCGCTCACTCCTAGTCTCGATAACCCGAAGTCGGCGACCTTAACGTCGAGATTCTCGTCGAGGAGAATGTTACTAAGCTTAACATCTCTATGGTAAATCGGCGGCGACGCCGATGAGTGGAGGTAAGCAAGTCCCTGCGCCGTCTGGTGAGCAATCACCAGACGACGCATCCACGGTAACGGTTCATAACCGTTACCGTTACAGTAGATATGTTCGTGCAACGTTCCGTTAGGAACGTACTCGTAAACGAGAATCGGCATATCCAAATCGATGCAGCATCCGAGCAGCTTCACGAGATTCGTGTGGCTTACTTGACATAGTATCTGAACCTCGTTGACGATCTGGTATATGCTCTTCTCGTTCCCTAGCTTGGCTCGTTTCACGGCGACTGTTTTCCCGTCGTCGAGGTCTCCTTTGAAAACCTCTCCGAAGCCGCCGAAGCCGAGGAGGTTTAATTTGGAGAAGTTGTTGGTTGCTTTGATGATTTCTTTGCCGGAGAAGATCCTGTCGAGTCCGGCGCTGTTGGTGCTCAAGAGGTGACGGTGGAGTTTCTTTAAGCTTGCCCATGATTGGCTTCCGGCGACGATCCGGTTATGCTTCGAGATGATCATCTTCATTATGCCTCCGGCGATTAAAATCGCCCCCACACCTCCCGCCAAACCTGTTTAAATAATTAAACCGAATCAGACCACATCAAACCGAATCGAACCGTACCGGATTGAATCTGATTTATATTGTTAATTAATTAAACAAAATATATAACCGAACCGAATCAGACCGGTTGATTATTATGATTAACATATGAAAGTAGAAAAATTGAATTTACCTCCGATTAAAGGTAAATTACTCCGTCGCTTGCATTTCTTTCCCTTGGAGCATGATCTCTTAACTAAAATTAAAAAAAAAAAAATTGGTTTTAGTAAATTAAATAAAGATACTAAATCTCAATTAATCAAAAGCCATATAACTAAACCGAACCTTCACATACTGCGTTGACCGAGTCCCATTGAAACCCTTTCTTGCAGAAACATCTCTTCTGTCCTAAACTCTTGGAATCAACCGAACAAACCGAATTAACCAAATCCGTACAATCTCCCGGTAACTTACAAACCGGTTCTCTCGGAGTTTCCCATAGTATCTCCACGGCCGGTTCGCCCCATTTGCTAACCGGCATGGTCAGATCCAAGTTCATATAACTCTGATACGCTGAACACATATCTATCCTAGCCCTATAAACTTTATAAGTATTAACCGATGCACCGGTCTTATACCAGCAACACGATGACACGCCAGGGCAATTACTTCGACCTTGAGGACTAGCTTGTAGAAACTTGTGGCACAAGCTATTATCCGAACAGTTGAAACCTTGAGAAGTGTATGCATCTAGACCATCTTTTGTACAGTTCATGATTATAACCGTGTTACTACTACTTACATTGAAAGGAAGGTTTGTGTCTAGCTGAATACCGTGGCTCTTGATATCGAGTGATACACATGTGTTGGGTTCGAACCCGGGTGGTGTGAGGATAAACCGTTGGCCTGATGGGTCAATGGTTTTGATCGGATTGGTTGATCCGTTGAGAGTATCAAACCATAGTGAACCACGGTTGTCACAACGGATCTTGTAGTCCGGGTCGCCACAGTCGGGTCCTGTGCTTAGTGGGTATGGAACTCGGGTCGAGCCACAGTTAGGGCATCGTTTGAAAGATTCAGCAGTTGAGGAGAATGAGAGGAGTAGGAAGAGAGTGAGTGTGGTGAGAGAGAGGAAAGAGAGCCATGGAAACTCCATTTTTTGTTTTTTGTTTTTTGTTTTTGTGGGCAGGTGCTTTCTCAGGGTGTGGAAGGTATGTGTATATGAGCTGAGTACTATGATTTCTGATTTTTTTCTTTTAAGAAGATAACACTTGTATTTTTATATGGTCATTGAGTAAAACGAATAGATTATTTCAATGTTCCGATTGCATCATGGTACATTAAAAGCTGTGTTCAGATTATCTCGAATTTACACAAAATTCTGATTTGTTTACTTCTTAAAGAAATTCGTTCATGGGTAGAAGTCATGTGGAAGACGTTTATTAATTGCATACATAGTATACGTGTTAATTTCCAATCATTTCAAACACCATGTAAATTATAAACGAAAGATCATATAAGTTTTAATAACTTGGATGTTAGTAAAGTTTATATATTCTTTTCAAAATTTTGAAACCAACATTTTATTTCAATCCCATTACGGACTTTGTAAATATAGTTATAAAATATAAAATTTTATGATAAAAGTTAAAGAAATCTTTTCATATATCATATAAAAAAAGATTTTCAATTCTACCACAATTTGATACCACTTTTCAAATTTACTATTAATCAATAGTTATTTTCATAAATATCTAAATTTATGATATAATAACACTAAACTAATTTTTTAAATATTTATAGAACATTTATAAATCTAACCCAACCCTTTAATACTAAACCTTAAATAATAACTAGATTTTGATCCGCGCAACCGCGCGGGTGTTTGTTTTCGTTTATAGTTATATAAACATTTTGTTTTCACTTGTAAATTGGTATATATTATAGTAATCACATATTTACGATATGTATAGTAAATGTTTTTCAAACATAATAATATTATATAATAAGTGTTTTAATCAAATAGATTGTTTCAAATTTTCTATATTATACATGACTTTCAAA